AGCAACTAAATCATCAGAAGTCCCTTGTGGAATTTCATTGGTAATGATCGTTCACAATAACATACCTGCTTTTGTGGATTTCAATTATTCGATCTGATAGTCTTTTGCCTTCTTTGAGTGCTCCACGTTTGATCTTATCAAACAATCGCACAAGGGCTTTCCTGATGAGTAACATACATGAACATTTTCATTTGTCTAAGGATAGTAGTCATTTATATCTGGAAATGCTTTAGTATGTAAAATGCTCTACCTGTCAGGAGATACTGTTTTCCTATGGCCTAGAAATCGACGATGACCTTCAACTGCCCTTGCCATGTTCCCAGTATATGACGGGATAAATACATCACTTTCAACGGACACAATGTAATCAAGTGCAGCCATCTGAGATGCATGGTTGATAAATGGCTCAAGCTCTTCAACAGAAGCCAATTTCTCCTGCAAAGTACTCATAAAATATTAACTTAAAGCACACAGGCCATCAACCAAGGAAGGAAACATTTATATGAATTAACTGATCGGTTCACCTAAACTTGCAAAATCAAAATAAAAATCAAACAAAAAGAAATAACTACTTGCATAATTATAATTGAATGCCATTGTGAACTGAAATGAAAGAAAAAGAACTTGTCCTTCACAGTTATACAATCAAGATATCAAATGCAAGGTGAAGCAACACCACTTCTGACTTTTTCTCTGGAGGCAATAATTATTTTTAGTAAAAACACGAGTTCTACATTGAATTTCTTTCTTTCAAAAGGTGTTTCTAATATTTCCATTCTATTGCATGTAAAACATAAGAAGCATGGTTTGACATAGTACTTTTACGAGATAACTGATCAACATTCACATTATTTCAGAAGCAACCAAGGCAATATTGTCCAAGATTAGTTTCTGTGGATCTAAAAGTTCAGGTAAGTGCAGAAAATCAAGAAAGCTATAAGATAAACTCATACCTTGCTCATTAACATTGGATAACGTGATCGCAGGTCAGCCATGCGAGAATCACCCCCATATATCTCGCCAGCAGCAATATATATAGGAGTACTAGATGGATATCCAAGAGCTGTAAGAAATATTCCAACTTCCTTGGGAGTTAAGGGGCAATAACCCTTGGATCTCTGTTCTCTGCCATCAATGTCCTTCACTTTCCAATATGCAGTATTTTCTCTGCACATTCAAGATTAATTGGATAGAAAAAAATTAGATGTGCAGTTCAAGAAAGGAAAGAACTGACATTAAAATGATTACTATGCACACCAATTATCTCTCTTATCATCAGTAAGCACACAGCAGAACATATCACACCTGATTTTCCTCAGTTCAGCAGCCTCACTGGGAGTTAAATCATGATTGCACCCACTAAATGCAAGCATATCTTTCTCAAATCTTAAATGTAACGCGATGTAAGGACCATAAGACCTCATCCTTTCCACCAACAACTACAATATCAATCATACAGAAAACCATAATGACATACGTTGCATGAGCCACAAGATGATAGAACTATTGCAGTAATCAGAAGTCAGTTAAATTTCTATTATTTACTTTTCCCATTGCTTCAATTCGAGGAGAAAACCGAAGGGCCTCATAGCAAGCACGACAACGTAGCTTTTGAATATCTGAAGGTAAATTGTTATTTGCTAGACGAGAATCAGATTTGGCCGCTCGAATAACCTATTCCAATGCATGTCTACATTAAGGTAACTGCACAAAGAATATTCTAATGACAACCAAAACTATAGAAAAACTTGTATTTACTTACTTGATATTCGTCCCACATGCTAAAAATCTCATCCTGATAGTAATCCATACCAGATCCACTTTTAAAATGCTTAACAACTTTGGTAGCTGAAGAAATTTCCTTTGGGAGCTTCTTTATGACTTTAACATCAAAAGCCAAAGTTTTAATAAAGTGATCTTCATCAAAAACATCCGAAAAGTTGCTGCAAACAAAGAGAAAAAGAAAATCTCATTACATAAGTGAAGAAGAATGTGAGAGAGGAGATACTACGAAGGTGGAGGAAGTGCTACCTGGAGTCTTGCCAAAATGATCGTTTATCAAGTTCAGGAACTACAAGGGTGGCATTTATAATCCGGGCTACAGCTACCATATCACATATCTGCAATTCAAGAATGAAAATATACTGTGCTCTAAACAACGGTGGAAAAACATTTTTCATCAAAAGACTCATAGACCAAGAAAAGAGATATGCATAGCTCTAATTCTCTATCGCTGATGCCTTTGACATTGCACAGCACCGCAGTTAACTTAAATATTCTTTGGTGATCCAAATGATTTAAGATGTTCCTGCACCGACATGATGGGCAGGAGCAGGAAGAGGTACAAACAAATAGCTACTGAACATGAAACGTGCAAGATGCGAGAAAAACCATTAACTTTAGAAGCACTTCCATAATTAATTACTGAAGTTTTGACATTACTTTTCAATGTTTCCCCTGTTTAAGTAACACTAATTTCTACTTCATCCTTATAATTATAAATTTGCTGTAACCAAGTCTTTGAGTAACTAAACTGAATTGGAGTTCTCCTTAACTCCCAAGTTCAATCACACGCCTCAAGAAAGAATGAAAATCAAGTAGAAACTTGAAGGACCTAGAAATCAGTCATCAAGAAAAAAGATTAGCTTCATTCCCTCTATTGGACAACAATGCATCTATTTTTTTCCACTGGACTGCTTTATCCATCAGACAGTCACAGCCAAGGGAACACTACCATAGTACAAAAATATTAGATGTACCTTCTTTAAACAAATGGAATTTACTGCACATTAACCAAAGAAAACTGGGAGGAATAGAAAGGGGGAATACTTTCTGTCCTTTCTACTTCAGTATGCTCTGACAATCACCATTAAAGTATTATGAAGTGAATGAAAACATCATATCCAATTAGCTAAGATGGTGCAAGCGGTTGTAAGTTCTATCTTTCTAGCTTTTGTCATTTTCAACTGCTAATTGATCAAAGTAGATACTCTTCTAATTTCCGGAACAGAAGAATCAAGTAGAAAAGGCAACAGAACCAGCAAGCATAAGTATCATGAGGGAAAATATATATATACCCCAGCACGCATCTGGTTGAGCCCACCATTTGTATGAACCAGAAGGTAACCTCTCAACTTTGTAGGGGCTGCACAAATAACAGTGACTTTGATGGTAAGAAGATGCAGTAACTGCAGAATGAAAATTATTCCACAGCCTACTCACAAGTATAGTTCGAACTAGGCTGTACACAGGGGACAAAATCACGATTTGAAGGAGGCTTCCATAGCTTAGTAAAATCCACATTCACACTTGGACCATCCAACTGTCAAATCTAAAAGAGTGAAAACATGGAAGAGATGACTGTTTTTGTATTAATAAATACATCTATGTCCATGAGGCACAAGCCAGAAGCCTTCACATGTATTGAGTCAGAGAAAAATTAACCAATCTCTACTATTGCCCAGACCCCAAAATAAACTCTAGCAAAGAGTCAAAATATATATATATATATGTAGAAAAGCTAAAATATTAGAGTATGTACTCAGAGGATATTTTCTCTTTTAAAAGGTTCCTGTAGTTCCTTCAAATCATAGTGCTTTTTCTGGCTCCTAAATTTCCTCACAATCAAACAGCTTTCTATAAGCAATTCAACTACAATGACATTATAAGAATACAAAACCTTGCGAGAAGAAGCTGGAGCTTTTGATAAATGGGGGGGAGCCAGTTCCTGTAACAAGTTCTGTTCCGTGCTCAAACCTTGATACTTTGTTTTGATGTCATCTTGCTACAGAATTCCAAATAACGGAAAAACTATCATTCTATATACCTCACCTTACATTAACATCAACAATCAGAAAAGGTGCCATAGAAGGAAACAAAAAAGTATTGATAGTGAATTTCTCAACAAATATCTATATCTATATCTATATAGACAGAACAGCAGTTGAATAAATGGTATTAAAGCCTCTTTTAGATAGTTCTTAAATAAGTTCATTTTGCTCAGAGTCAAAAACTGAATGAACAAAGCTCGATGTCAAAGTGCCAAGTCTTATGTGTGGAGGGTGGGGGTGGTGGGGTGGGGAGAAGAATTTTATTGTAGTTTGTTTCTCTCGATTCTTGAAAACCAGATTCAGCTTACATTTTCTCATCAACCAAACAGCTTTAGCCAAGCAAAATACATTGACCCAAGAACAGGAGAAAAACAGACCTTGTTGGTAGGAACCATAGGAGCTTTCAACAAATGAGGCGAGTCCAGCTCTCTTGTCCAGCTTCCCTCAGTTCTCAAACTGTCGTACTTAATCTCATTTTGCTATAAAAAAACATATATAAAAAAAACATAGCTATAAATAAATCCTAATCTCTAGAACAACTGCAAGAAAAGAATTTAATAAAGGAAACAACCAACGAAAGAAATTTTTATAACAGTTTGATACGTAATCTCGAATTTAAAAGTCAACAATTATAAAATTACCAAATATGAGAAAAAAATAATAATCCAGGTATTTCAATTTCTACACTAGAACAAAGAAAAGTTGAATATAAAAATCAAAACAGCAAAATTAAAATGCGCAATCACTGTTCAAAACCAACCAAAATCCGCCAAATTTATAAAAAGCAGTCGCGGCTAAATAAAACTAGAGCAATGGAAGATAACAGAAAACAAAATCCCTAAATAAGAGAAGAAAGGAAGGAATAGATTGATCACAAACTTGGGCGACTGTTGGGAGCTTGTAGAGATCGGGTAATTTGGGAACTTTCGAGGAAGGAAATATGTGTACGTGGACGGAAAGCAGAGCCACCAGAGCTATTGCACCTATGGCGCATGTTAGCATCCTCCTACACCATACCAGCACTCTCCTCCTCCTCATCTTCTTCGTCTTCTTCTTCTCCTTCTTCTCTTTCTTTTTTTCCTTTCTCTCTCCGTCCACAACTCGCTGAGTTCTTCTCTACGGAACTCGGTAAGAGGATAATGATAATAACAGCGGTATCATGAAGCCATTGCAGCCATTACGCAGAGAGCAATCACACTGAATCCGTACACTCCGGCTCCGTGTCGTGAGTTTGGTTTGTTCTGTGTGCCTTTTACGAGAATTTGATAAAAGCGGTCGGCTAATTTTGTTTTCTGTTTCTCCATGGTTCTTCTTGTTTCGCCATTTTTGGTTTTGGTTTTGGTTTTAGTTTTGGTTACGACGCTCGGTCTTTTAACGCCGTTTTTTAACGGCAGCGACAATGAGGGATTAGATTTAAAGAGAAATTAAGATTATTAATTATTAATAATCCAAACATTTTAAATAATATTAATCCTCTTTTGGTGGGTCCGACTAGTCTAAACGTGTTCTTTTTTTTTTTTTTGGAAGTTACGATTTCCTAATTTTCATGTACCACTCTCTTTTAGAAAAAGTTTTAAATTTTGAGAGTTCAGTTGGTTAATAATAATAATTAATATTTAATTGGTATTAATTAATTAAATTAAGTAAAAGTGTGAAGACAATTCAATACGTTTTTTCCGAGTTTGACCAATAATATTAATTAAATATAACAATTATCTCACTGAAACAGATAAATTAAAATTTTTAAAATTTTCTAAATTAAATATTTTTATATTTTATGTAAAAAATAATGTTTATATTTAAAATTTTATTACTTTAATATTTAAAAGGATGAATTTCTTACAGTTTTAAAATTAATAATTTAATAAATAAGTAAAAAGTTTCACATATAAATAAAATTAATTTATATAATTAAATGATATTTAACTGTCATACACACTTGATTACTAGATGCAACAATCTAAATATATATTATATGGCAACTAATGATTACATGGTATTTTTATTAATAACAATAGTTAAAATTAAATATAGAATAATTTTTTTAAAAAATACTACTCGTGATTAACTTTTATAAATAAATAATAAAACAATCTCTTAAAAACCACTTTTTGTATGTTCATATTTTTTTGTTATTTTTTTATTTTTTTGTGATCATTTTTGCTAGCATTATAATATAGGACTGAAATATAATATTATCTATTTATTTTTTTTAATAAATTATTAATTAATGTACAAATTATATGTCATCTAATTAACATTCCATCTATTATTTAACAATTTATATTTAATATGATAGTGAAATAGCTGAAAATTGACAAATTATACAATTTTAAGTAACATTAAATTCAATCTTATTAGATAATTCGTATTTGAACATTAAATTAAAATAATATGCAGGAACCAGACAAGGCTTAAACACCATCAAACTAAAATATCGGGACCAAAATGTTTATATTAATAAAAATGGGTTAAGGTTGAATATTTTGATGAGGGTTAGATTAAGGCTGAAAAAGTCAAATAAAAAATGCAAAAAAGCTGCATGAAATGTGGAAAATGGACAATGTGGATCTCAAGGTGTGTTGAGAGAATGGCATGCATGTGCGGATGATTTATAGGAACTGCCTCAACAACACTTTGAACTCCATTAAACATTAAATTCAATTTAGAATTTGTCTTAGTGTCAATAATTATTTAAGATAAAAAAATCACTTTAATTAGTTTATTAATAATGAATTTAGTACATGTTCAAATAATATTTACTAATTAAAATTACATGAAATACTAGGGATTTGGGTGTTTATCACTTCATTCTTCTTTTTTGTATTTTGAGGATGATTACTTCGAATTCCATATACTAAAACAAGGGGAAAAGAGAAAGACCTGCAAAAACTTCAGATGACACCCACATGATTAAAAATATATATATTCAATTTGCCATATTATGTCGTTTAACTTTTTCTTTAATTTTATCAATTTAGTATTAACATACAGGTTGATGATGTCTTGATCAGAACTTTTGACGTGTTAATTAGGTAAGGCATCACAGCTGGCGAAAATTGACACGTGGCTTGATTTGTGTGGTCACTCAGAATGTTAGTGCTTTTCAAGGGAATCTATGATTAGGGTCTGGTCTTGTTTAGGTTGGACGTAATCTCTGATTTTAAGACATTGACGGGACTGATCAAAATATTAGACACGTGGCAGAAGATCCGTGCAGCTTAGTCTAACATAATCAATTCTGTAGTGGGACCCTCGTCTTTCTCAATCTTCTCCTCTCATCCTTCCTCCTATCAAGGGAAACAGTTGCCAGCCAAAACAAGGAAATGAGAGGGTGAATCGGACGGTGGAGATAAGACATCATTAATCATCGCGTGTGTTACGAAAATGCTTTTAAATAACATTTTCTGGTAAAATTTTATAGTTTTTATTTTCTAATTAATATTTAAGCGTATAATTTAAGTAATAATTAAAAATAATAATGAAAATATTGATAAATTTTACAAAGTTTAAATATTATTTTTAATATATTCTATAAAATTATTTTCGTTAATTTAAATTATTCCATAAATATACAAAATTTATACATTATTGTAAATAAATATATATATATGAATCTAAAAATTAAAATTAAACGTAACAAACATAGCAATTTCGTTGTATCTTTTGTGGGGTGTGTGTGTGTGTGTGTACACATAGAGAAAAGAAGAAAGCTATATTAAACAACACGAAATTTGTTGGTTTCGACTGGCAGGTATCCATAGCCTTCAACAATATCGTTAGAAATGGAGCAAGATTTTCTGGTAGTGTAATTGTTTGTCGGAAAATGACGTCAACAAGTCAATTAATAATTAGTTGATAAAATTTATTATTTTATAAATATATTATATGTTAATATTCATTAATTCGTAATTTTTTATTTAATAGAATTAATAATTTAATTTATTTATATATTAATGAAATTGCAGTTATTAAAACGATTTAAATTTTGACAAATTTATTAAGTTTTTAAATGAAAATACAATTATATAATGAATAATGTTTTTTTTTTAAAAATTTAGTAGTTAATTGACGGAATTTATTTTTTTTTTTAATTTATCAATTAAAAATTAAACTTGTTACTTTAAATAGGAGAGTTGGAAATCAATCACTCTTCAAGTCGCTTATCAAGCAGAGGTCAACGTCAATTTCTACTCTTGCCACATTCTTTAATGGCCCCCAATTGGCTTTGTTTTTCCTTCAAACAATAAAATAATTAGATAGAATTGTATATTTTAATTAAAATATGATCTCTTAAATTATAAAATAATTAGATAGAATTGTATATTTTAATTAAAATATGATCTCTTAAATTAATTTTTAATGTAGTTTAAGCTTTATTTATAAATATAATTTTTCAATTTTTTAATTTTAATTTAGAATAAAAATAAAATAAAATTGATGAATGATTAAATTGAAAATAATTTTAAAAAAATGGTTGAAATTTTAGATTCTGAAATTATTTTTAAAAGAAAAATCGACAACCGGATATTAAAATGCAATTTAAAGAAGTTTCACCATTTAGGATGTTCGATCAACAACCCCGACAAACCAAAACGCACCGCTTGGCAGCAGACGCTGACGCAATGCCACGCGGGCGATCGGTGTGCCCGCAATTGAACGGCTCAGATGCGTTCCCGCGCGCACGAATGACCCATATGCATTCAATCCCCAAACACGATCAGAAGGTCAGATTTGAACGTGATCGGACGGTCCAGATAAGATCGTGATAAATGGTTCAGATTAGATCGCGATGAACAGCTCAAATTCACCCCCTATTTAATTGCGATCGGATGGTTCAAATCAAACACAATGGACAGCTCATATAAAAAACGAATGTATATACATAACCTCCATCCACACCAAACCTTAATCCTAGCTGCCAGACTACCTCGTCGGAAAAGAAGACCCAATCGCCGCCACCCGCCGCCGCACTAGAGCCATTTCCGACCGCCAAAAGAGGTAAAAAAAAATTTCTTTGCTCTGAATTCAATTATAAACACACCCACCGCCAAATCGAAACAAAAGGATTAGTCGATTGGCCGGAAAACGCAGGCAAAGCCCGGTAGCACCGCCGCAAAAAATTCTACAAAACGCCTCCGATGAGGCCCTTTCTGATTTTTGTTTTGCGTAATTTTTTCACCGTTGTGATCAACGTTTCATTCTCTACAAGTTGACCGGAGCAAAACACCTAACCACAACGTGAGTCGAAGGAGCTGCCGCACCGGAGAGCCCCACCACCGGTGAGTTTCAATTTTTTTGTATTTTTTTGGCCAACCGAGTCCCCTTAAAATGTTTTCTCGCAGGGATTAATGTGAAATCGGCCAAAAAAGACTGAAAATAGCCAACTCGAGGCGGACCGCCGTCGGAGCATGGCAGAGCTGTCGTGCCAGAATTTTGAAATTAGCCAAAATGGGCCCTGATACTGATTTAGGGTTTATTTGAGATATTTGCAGGTACTTATAGTACGTTTTGATTCTCAAATAAAAATTTAGGGAATCTAGTGACTGCCAATGGGTGCAGTCAACGATTTAGCCTTTCGAGCATCAAATTGAGTAATAATCTCTCACCCTATTCTCTGTTATAAAATTGAAGTCTAATTAACAATAAATACGGTATTTTGTATAATTTAAAAAATGTTTATGATTAATTACAGATTGCTAATGGAGGCAGAATCAGAAACTATTCTCTGTTGATTGTTTTTACAGTTTAAATGTATTATAGTACCTTATTGATTTATTTTATAGTTTTAAATGCATGTATTGTTGTTTTATGTATTTGCGGTTGAATTGAAAATTTTGAGGTTAAAGGTATACGGAAAACTTGTGTGATTAAGTGACTGGATGAAACAGCAGCCTTACTGGACATTCTGGAATATGGTGGATGGACTGGGTACACAGAGAACCCTACTGTGAACGTGTCTCATACTAACCGAGGTATGGAGACTTTGTAACTTGGCGCTCATACCGGACGGGGTATAGGGACGACCCACCTCACTCTCATACCAGACAGAGTATTGAATATGAAAATATAATACGTGCTATATTGTCAATTATATACGGAATCATGATATATGTAATGTTATTGTTTCTATATGTTGTTTTCTATAAATCTCACAATGATAAGTGGACGGTAAATGGTTTTATTATTGATAAATGAATTTGCTTAATTTAGTACTTTATTAGTTGTTTTTTATTTTTTTCTACCAACTTTCATTTTTGTGTCGGTAATATAGTGTGATATTCTTACTGGCTAGTATAGCTCATCCCTTATTTAACTATTTCAGATCAAGAGAATCAGGATCCAGAGCCGGATCTGCAAGAGGGTTGCAACTAGAATGCTAGTTTTCTTTATTTTCCGTTCATTTCATTATTTCTTTATATTTCTTTCAAGATGGTGAATTCTACAACATTAATTGGTACTTTAAGTTATTGTATAAAAAATATAAACTTTGAACATTTATTTCGCTTCCACATTTTAATTATCATTTATTTTCTTTGGATATTTTCGGGGTCGTTACATAAATTGTATTAAAAAAAAAAATTATCAACATAATTATTATAAATGTCCGGAACTCAAATAGAGTGAATTTATAATTTAAATGCAGAACCGAATAATAATGTTATGATTTACATTGCTTACACAATAAATTAAATTGTCCAATAAGATTACGGAAATGTCCATTCTACAGTGGCTCGTAAAAAGAAAGAAAGAAATAATTTAAAATGAATAGATAAATGTCTTAGTAGTTAACCTCCACTAGATCTTTAGGGGATCTGATAGGTAAACTACTCGCAGCCTTCTTTCTGATCGGGATCGGGATCTGGATCCTGATTCTCTTGATCTGAAATGATTAATAGAATTGTGAACTACACAATAAAAATATCACGCTAATCACTGATACGAAAAATAAAGGTTTATAAAAATCACAAAACAACTAATAGAACCCTTAATTTAAGTAAATTCAAGAAAATCGTTTATTCCATACTTACCGTTATGAGTTTTTCAGAAATCAATCGATGAAGACCAATATCCATACAATTTTTCAACTTCATGCACAAGTGAACAAGAAACGATAATTTTCCTTTCTTCCTTGCTTACTGGTACCCCTAGAGGTCCATAGGGATGTTCTCCAACGTGCGAAATGAATATTCAAATTATCAATTAACTAGTTGTTCCCATACCCCCCCTCCGATAATGGGCGCCAAATATTTCATCGCCTCGATACCTCGTCCTCTATGAGGTTGAATCATATCTCCCAAACCCTTCAGATATGGGACTTTTCAGCCTCATTTGACTGACGTAACGTTCATGATAAAGTTCTCTATGTACCGAGTTTGTCCGCCCCTTCCCAAGATACTCAGTAAGCTTTTCACATAAAGATCTCCATCAACAAACAAACAGTAAGTGCATACCAACATCTTATCATATTTATAAATTAATTAAACGACAGTTATGCAAACAATGCAACTTCATACCTTAGTAACTAATAAACCTATTCAGGATCTTTATTTTCAAGTCAGTCAATCAAATAAGAATTTCAATCGGGGAATCAATAACGAGAAAGTAAATAAATATGATAATTTAAATCATACGGCAGAACAATAAGTAATTCAAGTAGTACAAGAAAATAAATAACTACATAGACGAGCTTAGGGCAATCGTACACTAATTAGTTTTTGGTCTCCACTAGTGACTTGTAATTATTATTAGGTTTCTTTTAATTTTTATAAAACACACAATTATCAATTATTAAGTCTTAATTTACCATAACAGTAAATAGAGTAAGGGATCATTAACTTAATCGGTATTTTGAGACATCACGTTGTCTATTACGCCTCCTAATGGGTCTCGAGTTTCCTGATTTTTTTACAAGAATTCAAAATACTCGTCATGCAACTAAAAAATACCCCAAAAATCTTAAATCAGTGTTGAAAAACTTTTCCGGCCAATTTTAGGATTCCAACACGGTGGCGACGCCGTGTTCTAGCACGGGCTCCGCCGCCCATAGTTGTAGTTCGTCTCGGCTGGCCGGTTTTGGTTGATTTTGACTAATTTTGGTTGGTTTTATACGTACCCTTGCGGAAAAACACATTAGGATGCCTTGGAGAGGGGTCTTTGGGTGCGACGACTCCGCCAGTTCTCCTTCACGGCTAGGGTTTCTTTTCAGGTTAACCTGCACAAAAAATGACGGTAAACACAATGGCCACGTAAAACGAAAAACATGAAGGGGCTCATCGAATAGAGTTTTGGGTTTTGGCCGCGGCAGCTCCGTCGGGCTTTGCCCACGGTTTTCGGCTTACTCGCCGCTCCTTTTGTTTCAATATAGCCATAGAGAGAGTCAAAATCAAATTCCGAGTGGGTATGAAAGAATTTTATCCTTTTTTACAATCGACGGTGGCTGGGGGTCGGTCTCCTTCTCTAGTGACTGGTCCTTCTTCTCCGGCGAGGACATGGCGACCAGGGTTAGGGTTCTCCTGCGATGCGATGTTTATATATTCATCTCGCATCAATCTAAGTCATCCATTCGCGTCGACGTGGAGCGAGGAGAGTCGTTCGATCTTTTTTTATTCAGGCCGATTACATGGACAAATCTAGACCGTTCATCACGATTGATCTCGTCCATCCGATTGCACTTAAGGAGAAAATAAATATGAGTCGTTCACGTGCGTGGGATTGAACCTGAGTCGTCGGATCGCTGGGCATGTGGATCGCTCGCATGGCCTCTCGTGTGTCACCGACATCAACATGTTTTGACACGCAGCGTGCTCCGGTTCGCCGGAGCTGCTGATTGAGTCATGCTACGTGGCCGAATTTTCTCTTTTTACATTTTGATTTCCTATTTCTAATTTTTTTTTTCAAAAATACTCATGAACTCAAATTTTCATCTTTTTTTTTTCTTCTAAAATTGCTTTCAATTACGTTCATAATATATTTTTTTTCTCAAATAATTTAATAAAATAAAATAAAAATAAAATTATTAATTATTTTTATCACACGAAAATTGATTCCATATTAAATTTCGAGCTCGGACATTATATTTATTTAATTATTTTTTAAAAATAATATACTATAAATTGTTGGTAATTGACTTATATTTAACATGACAAAACATTTTATTTATTAAGATGATAATAAGATTATTGTTATCAGGTTGAGTTCTATCATAATGTGTCATAATATATTTAAGTGAAAAAAATAATATACAGCAACTAAATTTTCTCAACTCGGATAATCAAAAAGGGATAAAAAAAAAAAAAACATGATGTAACATTTTTCTCTAAAAATAAAATATAAAATAAATTATTAAGAAAAACACTTATAAATTCGTCAATTTGGGTTGGGTAGTTCTGTTATTATTATTATTATTAAAAAAAAAACAAGTATCAGGCCCAATAAACGCCGCAATGAATCCATATAAAATTAGTCTGGGCAACAAAAACGGGCCCGTTTTGCCACATTTTAGCACCATCTCATTCTGGGTCTAATGGCTTCTTTTTACGTAATATGATTTTAGTATTTTTGTTGGCAGATATAATTAACACACAAATTACTTCATTGTGCATATAAAAACTGGGCCTATCTATACAAATTGATTCACAGAGCATAATTACATTCCGTGACGCACGACTACTTTTCTAATCTGTATATCAATTTGTTTTAACTTTTAATTTTATATAATAAGAATATATATTAATAAACTAATAATAAAATGAAAAAAATTTGAATTTGAAATCAATTTAATGTTGAATTCAAATTATTTAATTTTTTTTTTTTTTACGATTTGAGATTTAAATTGTAATATTTTTATTCATATAATTAAATAAAAAATAAAAAACAATAAATTATTAACTTCCCATCTCATAAAAAATTAGCTCTCTTAAATAGACGTTTTTACAAGTAAGCTAAAGTTAATAAAGAGGCGTAATCAACCAAAATAACAAAGGAAATATATATACGCAGGTAGAATTTTCAAACTTAATTGATCTGGATGAGATTAACTTAACTACAATTAAAAAGGCAAATGCATGATGCTGTGCGTTTGACTTGATCATCCGAATGCATTAATTAATTACTGGTTGCATAATGCTTTGTGTATATGCTTTTTATTTAAAAATTATTTATATTATGACTAAGATATACACATACACATTCTCTGATAGAGAAAAAGAAAACCTTCGTATAAATATTACAGCCAAGATTAATAAAAGAATATAAAAATTAAAGTTTATTGAAGTCTTCTTCTTCTTTTTTTTTTTTTTTATATATTTTAAATTTAAAATAATAATATTGAAATTAAGAATATGCCAGGTGGAATTCGGGGTTGTATTAAAAAATAAAAGAAAAACACTGGTTGGTGTGGGTACGTGGCATGCCAGCTTTAACACTGTTTTTTTATTTCCAAGGCCACTGCAAATCAAATGGGAAGTTGCCAAGAATTGGGAGGGTGGGCCATTTGAGTGGTAGTCACGTAAATTTATGCAAGTTTTTCAAAGTAGCTGATAAAGACTTAAAATTTTTGATCAGTCACAAAATTTGAATTTGAATTTTTTTTTTGTTTAAAAAGAAATTTCTTGGATGTTGATCTAGTTAAAGTGCCAGAATGTTTCCTTGCTGGAAACTTTTGTCTCTATCAACCGTACGCTGACAAAGTCAACTTCTTCCCATGGCGCCCTCCTCCATCCTCCATCAAATCTATAATCCTTCCATTTTTATACTAATATTAGACGCATAATTAGCACAGTTCCTATATGTATAACGATTATGGAAAGTATATGTATACATACACAGATACATAATCATACATACCACACTCAAAACATCAATCCTGTGGCACATTAACAACTTTGGCTCAATAATTCCCATCAACACCACAAGAATCCCCGGTAATACATATATGAAATGAGCGTATACATGTGATCAAATACATTAGACGTATGTATAATCTGTCTTTCAGTTTCTGATTGCCTGTAGTATATTCTTTCTCTTTTGTATTCTATGGAAACATGCATGTAACTAAGGTGGTCTATATCACATGCAACGAAAAAAGAATTCAATCAACAGACAACTAACGATTAATCAAGAAGCTATACCTAAAATGATCTTTAAATCTAGCTACACACACACACACACACACACACATATATATATGAGAAATAATCTCTCGCGTAAATATTGCACCAAGCTGCTACCGGCTCTTTATTGTTGATGATCTGTTCTTCCGTCTTCTCCGACTAAGCAACTTTGACAAGAGCCCTCCTTTCTTCTCCTCGCCACGGCCGTTGACTCCACCCTTGACTTTCATATTTCTCGGCACAAAAGCTATAGATCTGCTCTTCTTCAGCCCTTGCTTGCCGCTAATTAACAAGAAAGACAAAGAACCCTTTGTCGGGTTCGTCCTGAAAACACCATAACCAGAATGCTTCGGAGAAGAACAAGAAGTTGCAGAAGAGGCCGAGGAGTAATATGACGACAGAGAAGAAGAAGACGAGCAAGAAGAGTTTGATGTATTAATGGTGCTGCGCGAGCTAGAAGTGGGCGCCGACAGCTGAGAGAGCTTTTCACTTAAACAAAGCGAGCAAACGCCCGGAGATTGCTGGTGTTTTGGGTGCTTCCTGCAATTACGGGAGTCGGACTTTGAACCTCTTCCGGCGCCGCCGCCGATGACAATATTCTTTAACGATCTCCTTATTAGATTCACCATTTTTTATGATCTCGGCTGCTATACGCTACTTTCTATGTATTGGGTCTGTTGAGGCTGATGTGCAAAATGTGTCTACTTACAAATATAAAGAAGGGAGTGGTGGTTTAATGGTTTATAGATGTGAGTGGTGATGGTGCATTTCCATGATCGTTCATGGGAGGTTTCTCTGGTTTTTCTTTAAAATAACTTTTTTGACGGGTTGCGTTGTCAGAGAGAGACTATCTGGTATAAAGAGAGATTGGGAAAGTGTTAATTAATTAATGCTTGGGTTAAGATGGACGGTGAGGATGGAACGAGGGATTCGATGGGCCCGCTTTGATGAATGAGAGTCGGTGGTTGTGATGGTTTTGAGTGTAGAACAAGTGTAGATGATCAGTGGAGACGAAAGTTTTGAGAAGGCGGCGTAGAAAATCGCGGGTTTCTTTCGCTGACGTTTTATACAAAGTAGCATGCCGTGGAAAGAATCAAAAGATTGAAAAAAAATGTGGAAAACGGCACCGTTTTTCGGGAGTTGGGAAAGCTGAACGTGTTATATTAATTAATAAATCATAATTCTATACCAAAAAAAGTGCGTTAAAAAAAGTTCAACAAAAAAAAAAATTATATCTGAATATAATTAATATCGATTCAGTTTTTAAAACTTAATAATTTATTTTTCATTTTATATATGTGACTGTAAATACAATTAGGTTAGAAGAAAGTATTTTAATTATGTTTATTCATGTTTAACAAATTAATTACGCTTTTTTTAAAAAAAAATCTTAGTAAGTGAATATACAAATTGATTATTATATTCTGATTTTGCTTTTTCAAATTTTGTTTAATGCTCGGATTCCACCATTAGCTAGCCCACAGTACGAGAAAAACTTGAGCACTGGAAAAATATTTTAACGTATTACGACATGGAAGAATTAAACCATTTGATCACGACATGGAAAAGCGATTGACCAAATGATACCGTTGGTCAACAACGCCCGCTTAAAATGACGTCGTTTTAGCCAATATTCCCATTTTATAGACACGAGAAGTAAGAACTCCCCCCATAACTTTTAACATGCAAATTAAAGCAAAAAAAAAAAGAGTTATAAAGAGGATTATTTTGGTAGTTTTTATTAACAAAGACTAAATTTGTCTATTTTCTTAATTTTTAAATCTTAATTATTTGATGTATAAAAATTGATAATAATTTGTATATATAATTTATCACTAAAAATCAATTTTTATCTTTAATTTCCCAGGTACCAATTTGTGGGAGAGGAATGCAAGCCCATGATGTATACTTTTCTTATTGTGTAAAAATTGATTAAATATTTTCTTTATTTATTTGTAGGTGGGTAGCAAAAAGGTTGATATAATAATATAAGGAAAGTTAGTTGGGAATTGGGATATAATAATTACAGAATAATCGATTACATCAAAGGCCATATCACAACATAATTTTGAATTGTATTAAAATAAGAAATTAATTATTTTCTGAATGTACTATAAATTAATATAAATAATTTATAAAATTAATCTTTTAATGTAGAGTCTTTTACATGGGTTAAAAATCTTTTTTTAAAAAAAAAAACACACACACACAAGGTTGGTGGAAAGAGCAGCGGACTTTATTAGCATGCGGAAATCCAATTGTCTTTCGCACTCTACAATGGATTGATTCCTTTTCCAGCTGCCCTTCTGTTATATATACACACACAGAGACACCCATATATATATATATATATATCGTCACATGCCCTAGCATAATCAATGTCCCTTGTTCTTAGAGCGGTCGTAATCACCAGGATATAAACATAATTCAAAATTGTTAATTCCTAATTTTAGATCTTCATTGTCAAGTGTAATAAGATAATAACTTGGAATATTTTCAAAATCTTCTAATTCTATCAAAGGATTTATTTCACAGAATTTCAGTACGGAAGATTAAGATATAACGGCTTAAAATTTGAAAGTAAGTAAATTATAAATTAAGTATGAAAGTAAAATAATAGCGTTCGAATTTACATTTTTTACACAATAATTCAGAATACTTAAAAAATGATGGGAATAATATTTTTTAAAAAATAACTAATAATAAAATAAATAAATCAAAAGTAAACAAACTGAACATTTTATTTGCAACACTCTTGTGAATCGTGATCTAGATTCTGGTCATCTTTATCTGAAATAGTTAATGAAATAGTGAGTTATACTAGCCCAGCAAGAATATCACACTACTCACCAATACAGAAATAAATGTTGGTAAAAATTACAAACAACTAATAGAACTCTTATTTTAAGTAAATTCATTTATCATAAGTAAAATTATTTATTGTATACTTAACGTATCGAAGTTTCCAAAACTGACTTATAGAGTCAATGACACAAATAATCTCATAATCTCATGTATAATTAATCAGAACAACAACCTTTCTTTTTTATCTGCCTACTAATATCCACGAGGGTTCATAGGAACATATCCCCACTACGCGTGAACCCTTATTCAATATTTTCAATTAACCAACAATTCCAATACCCCGTCCAGTATGAGCACCAAAAATACCATCCATCAATATTATGTCCGGTATGAGAGTGAAACGAGTCCTCTCCATACCCATTTGGTATGAGTACCAAAGTACTAATCCTTCATATCCCGTCTAGTATGAGTTAACGTTCACGATGGAATTCCCTATGTACACAATTCGTCCACCATCTTCCATAATATCCAGTAAGACTACCATTCATTCACTCACTTAATTAAACAATTTTTCGTTTACATTTAATTTTCAGTTTCATAATTTAATTATAAATCACGCAAAATAAGCAATACATGCATTAAGGAAACACAACTAAATCATCTTATAAACTTCGGCGTATTATCATGCATTAAAAACTGTAAAATCAATCAAACAGGATAAAAAGTGAATAATAACCGATTCTGACTCCATTAATAACTTGTGATTAATTATCGAGATTTTTAAAATTGTACAAAATACTACATTATTTATAATTAAAATTCAATTCCATAATAGAGAATAGGACGAGGAATTCTTACCCGAATCGGTGTCTGAATGCTAAACTTTTAGCTACGCCTACTGGCAGTTCCCGAGTTTACTAATTTTTTTTAAAGATTAAACTACGCTACGAGTACCTAAAAATACTCCAAAAATTCAAAATCGATGTTATAAACTATTTTTAGCCAATTTCGATATTCCGACATGGTGGTGCTGCCATGCTTCAGCGACGGTAGTTTACCTCAGACTAGTTGTTTTCGGTCGATTTTGTATTCATCAATGCGGAAAAAGCACATTAAGGGACTTCGGTAGGCTGAAAAAAAGTAAAAAAATAGAAACTTACTAGCAGCGGAGTTTTCTGGTGCGGTGACTCCGCCGGTTCACCTTCACGATTCTTCGGTCAACATGTGAAAAACAAAATGGTGAATATAATGGTGAATAAATTGCACGAAACGGGAATCAGAAAGGGGCTCATCGAAGACAGTTTTTAATTTTTCACGCGGCGGTGCCCCGAGCTTTACCCGTAGTTTTCGGCTTATCCGCCAGTTCTTTTACTCCAATTTGGCTACGTGGGTGTTCAAAATTGAATTTCGAGCAAACAAATTTTTTTTTACCTTTTTTGGCAGTTGGAGGTGGCTCCGGCACGACGGGGGGCAGCGGTCGGCTCCCTTCCCAACGATTAGTTATTCTTCTCTGGAAGCTATGGTTAGGTTTTGGTATAAAATGAGGTATTTATATATGTCTCATTTTAATCTGGACCGTCTATCACATTTGATCTGAACCATTCGATTGCGTTTAAATAAGAAATGAATCTGAACCGTTCATCGCGATTTGATCCGGACCGTATAATCGCGTTTAAAGAGAAAACGGATCTGGACCGTCCGGTTGCGGGTACGCAGATTGTCAGCGTGGCACCGTGCCAGAGTTCCTTGCCATGCGACGGGCTCCGATTCGTCGGAGCTGCTGACTGGGCAGTCTTATGTAGCCCATTTTTTTTTAAATTATGTTTTGACCTCCTAATTTCTTATTTTTCTTTCCAAAATATATTCAGAACCCAAATTTTCATCTATTTTTTTAAAAATTATTTTTAATTTCATCATCCACTATTTTTCTTCACTTTTATATTAAATACAAATTTAAAAATTTAAAAATTATATTTTATACATTTTAAATATATTAAAATTAATTTCGAGTATTATATAAGATTACTACTTAATATTGATTGTGAATCAATATTCAATATTTTTTTCTAGAGATAGAAAAATTTGAATTGAATTTTTATTGGTTCAATCAAAGAAAACTAACTGTCAAAGAGTTTATTGTAGTCACTGATACATCAGTAAATTTAAATTTTTAATTATATTAAATTCGAATATTATAAATCGATCATTATTAACTCATAATATATTCATTGAATTGTAAATTTTATATATTTGATAAAATTTAGACTTATAACTTTTAAGTAGAACATATAAATCTTGACAAGTAATCAACTATATTATTGGTATATCCAATAGCTTTGGCACCCAGTAGATTTCTTGAAATATCTCAAAGAACTAATTCAAACAGACGATAACTGAGAAATAAAGAGGAAAAAGAAAATGGAGCGGAAGCTGGGCCGGCCGGTCAGAGGAAATTTTTAGTTGGGCATGTAGTAATGGGCCTTGAGTCTTTAGATATAAATATACAAATCATTTTGTTCGTGTGTGTATATATATATATAGTCAATTGGCCCAATAACTTCTTTTGACGTTTTGTAGCGAACTACATCCATACAAAAAGCCTTGATTTGAGACAACGTTTATTGTAAATACATGCATTTATATATATATATATATATATAGTTTCGGTTCAACTAAATAGAACCATCCATAGTTTGGTATTTGGTTTTTAATTAAAAGTTTTTGGTTTAGTTGAAATTTGAACTTTTTAGAGTGTTTTTGAAATTATATAAAATATTAAGGTTTTTACATATATATAAATATATTACAATGTAATGTTACGAATATATATATATATATATATATATATATAGATAGATAATGTAATGTTGCGAAATAGAATAGTTGGATTAACTTTTTTAAATCAATTAATACAGCTACAAATTGCCATGCCTATTATTATGAAACTGAAAAAATCTGTTCAAACAGATCAATGAAATTAATTTGGAAAATCGGTTGTAGTTGGAAGAATTGGGTTGTAGAGGGAGATTCAGTGCTTTGCAGTAGAAAATTTACCCCAAAAAAAAAAGGAATTGAAGTGAAAGAATTTGTTAGCTTCCTGGGATCGCCATGGAAAAGCTGGAAGCAAAAGTTAGAAAGCTGGAAACCTAGATTCCCTGGAGCCATATTTAGAGTCAAACATGGATGACGGCCGGGTCCCAACTCTGAAAAGCTAAGAAATTAAGCAGGGTCTGTCTTTTTTCTCTAGCTGGAAAACGACTTCTGTATTCTTCAGCTTCACAAATCTTCTGTTGCTAATTTCTTTAATCGCCCATCAATCCAGTTGAAAATCCGACATTATACATCAACGATCAGAAGGTTGTGTTTGGATTCAAGTGACAGGGATTTAAATAAGCTGGCTACTCAATTTGATAAGTCCATGTTAACGGTTTGTTTCAGTTCTTCTTTTTAAATTCAAACACAAACAAGAGAGTTTTGTCTCTCAAATGTGTTTACTACGGATTCGAATTTCAAGAGAGAATGAGAATTCACCTTTGCCCACAAAGAATAAATTGGGACAAGTCATTGATTAATTTACTAATAAGAGAGAAAAATGATTTGAATGTTGTAACATAAACTTAGTGAATTGAGGCTGCCATGAGTTGGGAGATCTACTTTTCACCAACCACTAAGGGAAAAAAAATATAAAAGAAACACACTGATGGGCCAAAGGGTGTGTTTGGCTTTTTGCCTTTGTTTTAGGAGACTCGAGGAGTGAATTAAAAGAGAAAAAAAAAATTTGGAAGTGGGGCCAAACAATTTTACCTTTGTTATAAGGAGAAAATTCAAGTCCTACTTTATTCACTGGAAACCAGCTATTTTACATTTTTCCAGCTTATGAGAAGAAGTCAACACACCTAATGGAAAAGTATACACCATTGAAAGCAGCTTAACATATTTAGCTTTTTTTAATTTTTTTTTTTAACCCTAAAAAGAAAGAACAAAAAATAAAACATGTTTAGCTTTATGTTGATTCAACACAACTAATGCTTTTAATATGTTTTGATTTTATTATTTAGATCAATTTTTCCCCATTAATATATTAATGGAAATGATAAATTAGAAAATTAATTTATAATTTTATTCTTAATATTTTCTTATTATAATTTGATTTTTAATGTTTTTTTTTATATATATATTTCAAACGGTCAGTTTTATTTTTTTTAATAAACAAATTTAAATAATTAGATTATGTTTTAATATTTTAAAAAATAAATTAAAAAAATAACTCTAATTAATTAATTAAATTAATATAATAATAATATTAGTAAAATTTATTATTTACTTGACTATTTTAATATTGTTTATTAGAAAAATAAAAATTAATAATAATAATTTAAGATAAATAAAATGTCAGATATTAAATTGTAATAAAAAAAATATTAAGAACTAATAATGTCAAACTTTAAAAATTAATTTAATAATTCGATTTCTTAACATTCCTATCAAACAACTACTTGAATTTAAACACAAATTTTCAAATATATTTTTTTCATATAACTTGATTTCTTAGGTAATTTTCCAGCATCAAATTATTTTAACTTTTTTTTTTTCTAATTATTTTAATTAATTAATTAATTTAAATTAAATAAAAAAATATCATAATAAAAAAGCAAATTAAATACTAAATTATAGAAATTAATTTAATAATTTGTTGTTGTACTTTTTACAACAACAGTTCTTTTAAACTTGTTTTTGCCAGAAATGTATCAGAACTAAATCACCCCAGTTAGAAAATCTTTTACGACCATTTTTATTTTACACTTCCAGCCTTGAAGACACGTAGACATACAGACAGCAGTTATGTCTTTTTTTTTTTTTTTTAACTTTCAGTGTCCGGCGAAGTACCATTGAAGAGTTGGAGCTTGATCAACAGAGAAGAAATTGCAGGACTCATCTGCAGGGAACAAGCTCTGTTCTTCGATTTTAACGAACTGGGAACTCGAATGGCCGAAACCCATTCTTGAATTCTGTATATGAAATTGCTCGCTCCATTGATTTGAAGACGAAGAACAATTGAAATCATGAAAAGAGGATGAACCGCCATTGATGTTATCTGTTTCTTCTTTAACAATCTCTCTGCTGCACAAGTCACTGCCTTCTTGACTCTGAACTGAAAGAATTTGACAGTCTTGACGAAAAGAATTACTGCTCTCTGCTTGCCCTTCCTTGAGCTTAGCTTTCAACTCTTTTAGCTGCCATTTTCAAAAACACCCAACAAGAAAATCAATACCAAACAATTCAATTCATGTTCATTTTTACAGGAAATCAACAAATTAAAACCCATTTGCTAAAACACAAATTCACAGCAAAATTCAGAACCTTTGAAGTAAGAGCTTCTTTTTCTTGTTCGAGGCTGCTGTAATCATTCTTAAGAGCATCATAATTGGCTTTTAGGAGTCCATAATCTTTCTCTAATTGCTTCGTCTTCCAACGAGCTCGGCGATTTTGGAACCAAATGGCTACCTGTCTTGGTTGCAGGCCTAATTCTTCTGCTAACTTCATCTTTCTCTCAGGCTCTAGTTTGTTTTCCATTTCGAAATTCTTCTCAAGCGCCTTAACTTGATCCAAAGTTAATCGCCTTTTCTTCTCTGTGCTGCCGCCATGGCTGACTTCCTCTAAATAATCTTCTTCAATGAAGCTGTCTAACATTGCCTGGAATTCACTACTGTAACCCTGCTTGCTCTGTTTACTCTTCTCCTCTGAATTTTAACAGACAGAACAGAGTTGAAAAACTTCAACTTATTAGTACTAACATCAAAAACAGAGAAAAGAGAAAATGGAAACAACTAAGGCTCTGTTTGATTGCAGAAATCTCTTCTAAGTTTTACATATTTCTACAAAAAAAAAAAAAGAAAGAAAGAAAGAAAGAATCAATAGATAAACAGAATCTAAGGAACCCAGGAAAAAATTATGCGAAAACAATTTTATCAGGGTCTTCTGGACTATCCCTCTCTGGAAACAGGAACAAGCTCACATAGTGCACACATGTATTTATGGTAAAAAAAACTGGAGTACCTTTAGGTGGAAAGATGGAGATGAGAGCAGTCAAAGAATCTGAAGAACCCAGGCGCTCCATGACAGAGAGGGAAAAGAAAGGTTTGGAGTGAGTAAGGAGAAAAAAAAATAAAAAATCTTAATTATTTATTTACCAAGCGTTTCGTGGGAGGGAGAAGCGTTTTTAAAGGGGTGTTGGAAAGAAGTACTTCACTTAAAGAGGGACTGTTAACCTTCTTGGTTATATAATGTGAAATGTGGAAGGTGATTTCAAAAATATGATTCTTAAATTTCATATAAATTTGGAATTTGCCTATTTTAGTTTATATTTAAAATAAATCCAATTTTTTTTTTTTTTTGTGAAATTTGTAAATAAATTCATATTTAGTTCGATTAAGATTAAAAATATGAATTATATTAAAAAATAATAAATGGTTCTGTGCTTTTATTAAATTTAATATTATTTTTTAAAAAATAAAATTTGTGTTATTTCCTACAAAATTTCGATCAATCGTATCCCTTTCCCCATCCTCTAAACAAATACACGGCTATTAAAAAAAAGCCCATAAAATAATCACGTGCAAATTCTATTTATTTTATTTTAGATATAAATTATTTCTTATTATTATTTAACAATTTCACTCTTTAATTAAAGAAAAGACTGGACTAGTATGAGGTGGTTGCATTGTCAATTTCCGCATTAATTGATAAAACATCATTATCAGCTAATTTTCACTCTAAATTGATTAAAATTTATAATACAATAAATTAATTTTTTCAATAAAAAATCATATATTTTTAATCATAATACAATACATTATATATATATATATCGTATAATGATATAAATTCATTGAGTAACATATTTCACACATTTGAATAGTCACCATTTCACCACCATCTTAATTGCGACATGATTAGTTGCACTTAATACTGCCTCTACATGATTCAGCAACATCAAGAAATTAATGTTTTTTTTTTTTAAATAAATGCACGAGTTACATCCATATCATATCATATATACACAATAATTTTTTTGGGTAGACATATAATTTGTTGGGTATATAATATATACGTGCATAATTTATTTATTTATTTTTACAAAAAAATATAATTTTTTAACGAATAACACAATATATATATATATGTATATATATAATTGAGTCACAGTCATATAGTGCTTTCATATTATTAATTTTATGAAAATCAACAATACTAATAACCATAAATGAAATTAATAGGGTGAATATTTTTCTGGAAGTTAAGTTTACACGCAGGAATTTGAGTTTATTAATTTGTCCTTTTGCCACGAAGGAATGAATTTTCTATTCGTTGATAATTGAATCCAACCCACATGTATAACTTCTGTTAGAAAAAATTAATATACATATTATGAGAGTGTTGTTAAATTGACCTAAAAGTAACCATTTAAAAGGGAAAACAAAAAACATTAGAATAAATTATTAAATTAATTTATAAAATTTAACACTTATTACAATTTAATCATTAATATTTTAATATAATTTAATTTTTAACTTTTTTTTTTAAATTTCAAACACTTAATTTTTTTAGACAATATGTGAATATTTCAAAAAAATAACTTGAAAAATAATTTTTATCGATTAATAAATTAATGATGACAAAGAATAAGTATAGTATTATTATTAGTTTATAAATATATTAATTAGTTAAAATTATTTTTCAATTATTTTATGATCTAATATATAACAAATTGAATATTTAAGGCAAAAAAAAAAAAGATATTAGAAGCAGATTATAAGAAAAATATATATATTTTTAAAAAATAATAATAATAGGAAGAGGGGGGGGGGGGGGAGGTCGCAATATGTGTGTGGTGTTATGGCCACCCAAGTTTCCCGAGCGCCATAAATCTTCAATCTCCTTATTGACGTACACAACCAAGAAGTTACATAAAGTAGGCTCTACCTAGCTAACTTTGAAAATCTATACATACAAGCAAACGCTATGATATAAATATTTAAAACATTTTATTATTATTTGACTCCTGACTTTATGTGCATTCATACATAAAATTAAAAATATTTAATATATATCACTAAAAAGTTGGCAAGACAAATAAATATAATAATAACAGCAGTAATAATAATACATACATACATACATACATATATACAATTGAAGTTTTAAACTAAAAATGAAATAACATTTTATCTAGACGAACTTGCATTGGCCGGGGCCGGGGGGGGGGGGGATCTAGGCCTTCCCCCTTGAACGGGAAAATAAATGGACGCTGTACCTAAAATGACACATCTCATTTTTATTTACTATATTGAAAGATTCTAAGAATCTATATATATATATATAAGATAATCATTACCCAATTTAAACAATGATCTGCAACACACGTCTTTTGGGTTAAATTATATTTCTTTACTTTTTGCGGAGGCTAAAAGTCTAGGATGAAAATAGATATGGGATGAGACAAGAGAAATTAATGTTGCGTGGGGTATAATTGGGTTAATATTTAAATATTGGTATGTGGGCAATGGCCTCCCAACATATATATATATATATTCATCCAGTTGTGGGCTTGACTACCGACACGTTTTGAAGTGTTACATAAGCTATCTATTCCTTCAATTGCTGTTATTTGCATGCCCCTATGCATCCAAGTAAGTCGGTGCCAAAAGGACAGTTTTCTTTTTTTGACAAACAATCTATTCTTTTAAGAAATTTCACTCTGTGAATTCTTTTTTTTTTTTTTAATTAGCGATATAAAACATTAACATAATTTTTTATTGTAAAAGCTCAAAACTACCAATAGAGATTTCAAACGTTTTGACCCAATGACAATAATATGATAAATAAATAAAA